TTGGTGGAACTCAGCACGATTAGCTTGAGAGCGACTAGAAGCAATTAAGAAATATCTACCTGTCCGTGATTCTGTCAAACAACAAGTACAAGAGCGTCAACAAACACAAGTAGAATTTGCAGAATCCACGCAAAAAAATATTTAAATACATCACTGAAGCTAATGAAGGTAACGTGCCATGTTAAAAGAAACAGTGAAACAACCTGAAAAATAGCTGAGCGAACTAAAAAAAAACGAAAAAAGTTCTACGAGAACTTCCAGAGAAAATAGCAGCTGCCTTGCCAACACCGGAAATACCTATGGAAGAAGACCAGGCGGAAGATGTTACTCAACAAGAATCAAAACAAGCACGAGTCAGGGTTAATCTGTCAGATAGTTTCATTGAAAATTTTGTTAATTATATTAAAAAAAGCCTAAAGTGTTCAACATTTACTTGTTATTGCTGTGAATAATTATTCGAATCAAAGACATTTTTTAACATCTTTATAGACTGATGATTTTGTAAGTCGCAAAAAATGGATATTTCGCATATACAATGACGTTCGTCAAGCTCGAACCTATGATATAAGATATACGGAATATATTCGTGCAATAAACAAATACACTTCGTTTATGAAATTATCACCAGAAGAACAAAATATTAATCCGACAAATATAATCAGAACAGCGAGTACAACAACAATAACAAATAGAACAACGTACACAACAACGACGACAACGACTATCATCAATTAGACAACAACCTCGAGAAAACATATCTAGATCCAGAGATGAAGCATTTTATTCCCCAGGAGGATCTCTAAATGTTCATAATACTCGAGAAGGTGGCCTTGTTACTTGTTCGGGTAATATCTTTGCCGACGTGGACATATTACAAAATCTAGTTGGTAGAAAACGAACTGGTAATAATTCTCCTGAAATTATCAAGGAAATCTCATCCATTTCCCAACAATTATTTACCTGTAGCATCATGGACGTTAACGTTTATCGGTTTCTCATTAATGAAATTACCGATGATTATCATAGTGACTAAAAGGTCGTCCGACTAAATCACTAATTAAGCACTTAAATACTCAATTATAATAGATGATCATGCACGCTGATCAACGTGGACCAACGATGGTCAGGGTGGTAAATTCAAGATTACCTGTATACAAACATTTTATGGAGATGAACTCCATAAGTACAATGAATGGTTTATTTACGTAGCAAATGGTATCTCAGGAACGTGTTTCTGCACCACGACATATATTCGTTTTTGTTGATGTTCTTAGAAGTTCATTTTCTAGAATCGCCTCAAAAGCAATACCAATAGTAAAGCAATTAAGCATGAATGCTATTGATGTTGTTCGTGAAAAGGGCATTGGTGCTGTTGGTGATGTGGTCAGTAAAGCATTCTCGCAATAAAGGATAGTCTAGCACGACTAATAAGATCAAAACCTCAGCCAGTAAAATTACTCAGCACTGAGGTAATGCCTGTAAGTGTTAGCAAAATAATAAATCAAGCCGAAAATCAAAACCTAGCAAAGTTTGCTGGTGAAAAGGACAAATAAATTATCAGCAAGTCTGATAGCGGGAAGTGGACTTTATTTCCAAAGTGGTCTTCGTATTAAACAATGATTAGTAACATAACATGTTCAAACGTGTACATGATCCGGCATTTGACATGGATGCGCCAGTTCCCAAAGATGAGTCAGTGCGTGATTATCAATATTATTCTTACAACGTGCGACAACCAACTCAGCGTTGGCGTATCGAATTACAAGTTCAAGACACAAGTGAATATTTCTTGCCCGCTGAAGCATTTATTGAAGTAGAAGGTGAAATTTTAAAAACAGACAATACCGAATATGGAGCTGATATCAGTGTCGGTTTTGTTAATAATGGCATTATGGTGTTGTTCGACAGTGCCACATTCATGATCGACGGAAGAAATATTGAATCGATTCAAAACTGTTAACGTTGCCTCGACGATATTTGGTCTTTGACGATACATCGACGTTTATTCAAGATCAGCTGGTCCATCATTGATGTTTCCCAAGCATCCTGAATACAACCAGTATGAAATATTATCAACAAGAAGCATTGGTATGCCGACATGGACGTACAAAATATGATTATTAATGTCGATGTAGATTTCAACCTCGGATTTATATTACATCGGGCAATGTTACATAGGGGCAACCGAAGATTGTCTTCCGCGATTCCACTATCACATATTTTTGGATTCTGAAGACATAATAGAAAAGTTATTTTGGAGCCAAACATGCAATTGTGCTCGTACGATAAACAACCACGGATGATACAATTTGACGACCAACCGGTGATGTTGGTAAAGTAGTTCTGACAAAGCTTTCATTGTGGATGCCAATAATGACACCAGCGATATCTAAAGATGATCGGTTACTCGCTTTTTGAACAGCGGCGGCAAGTCGACGTTGTCATGGTTAACAACAACCACATATGCTGTTGAAAGTACAATGAATGGTTTATTTACGTAGCAAATAGTATGTTTGCAACGTGTTTCTGCACCGCGACATATATTCGTTTTTGTGCTTCACTATACTGCACGATTAAATAATCAAACACGTTCCACAATGATATTTGACCGACTCAGTGTTTCAGAAGTTTCACTGAAGATAAATGGACATCAAGAACCATCGGTGGATATTTTGCTTAATTTTGAGTTAAATCATGTAGCACGTGCTTATCATTGTCTGGTGTCTATTATGGGACGTGATTAAAATATAAGTATCACAGCTAGATTTTAAAACGCTGTATCCGATTTATTATTTTACGCTGGAACATTTGGATTTATTTAGAAAGTCCGTTGTTGACATACATTGTGAAGCTCGTGTTAACAGAGGAAATAATGATCTATATAGAGCAATCGCCCTTATACTCGGGTTTAGATCAAGGTTACTTGAAGCTGCTGGTGTTCGCATGAAAGTCGTTGATGCTCTCGTAGAGAATATGCAAGCGCTGATTTAAATCAGTACATTTAGAAGTCAGAAATATATCATAAATATCATATCATCATTTTAGTATTAGTCTGTGACCCTGAATCAGATTAAACTATTACAAAAATCGCCGTTAGCATCAAGATGCGGAATAAAAATATCATTAAAACAAGAACAATTGAATGGTGCAAATAAATTATCGTTGACCGAGTGTCAGTTTTAAAGATTCAACGAAGCTAAACACGCCAGTAAAGGAATACGATTAAATCTTTCCCTTGACGCGATCAAAGATGTTATCAAAACCGGAGGTATATCTCCACTTCTCTTAGCTATTCCAGCATTAATAGCAGCTGCCGCTCCAGCTGTTGCAAAAGCTGCTGATTTAGGTGCAGTTGGGATAGATGCATTAAAGAAAGCCACAGGAAAGGGTTTTAAAGAAGACGACGAGTCTGACGCGGATTAAAACTTCCAAGATCTGGACCAAATAAAGTTGGGGGGTATGCCTACCAAAAATTCCAGGGACTCGATGATAACACCACAGATGAGTCATTCGCCTACACAAAATATCATTAGCGTTAACAATATGAAATTTCCCATTCGTTTTCAATGCTGTAATGGATTTTCCAAGAATAACGATAAAGTCGGCTAAAATTTTATGTTGTGTTCATTCAGTAACAGGATTTGCTATGCGGTTCGAATTATTTATTGTTGGACATTGTGAATACAATTTTTGATGAAATGTTATCATGTTTCGTACGAAATATGCTTGTTAGATTAAATCCGAATCTATTGTAATAGTGCTTGTAAGTTATAATATTCTGCATTAGGAGACGGGGTGGTTTTTATGGGAGATTGAGGCTTCTCAAAGCTAAAAATCACTTTGATAGAAAATCATCACTATTGACTACTTCGGCAAATACGAAAAAGATTATAATAAATGTAGATGTTTTATTTTCTGTAGCTTTAGAAATATCTTTATCAAATAATATATCGACCATGTTATCAATACATGTCATCACATCATCTGCCCAGCCAGCTATTCTCATATCATTTTCAGTCGCAAATAGCCATACCGATACATATTTTTGTGATATATGAGAACCTACATTTTTAATACAAACGCTTATTTATTTAGATTTTACCAGTATAACCTGGCGCTGCTTTTTCTGAATTAAATCTCTTAAAAAATATGTTTGTTAGATCAAATCCAACATGCTTGATTGGTGGTTTACAATAAGACATTATATCTATTTCATTTGTTTAATGTAAGATTTTGTACCAATATTATTTTGGTTAATGATTATAAGAGACTGTCGTAGTAGTAGGTGATCTTTTCTTAGATACATCCTTATCCTGATAAAACATATTTTTGTCTGAAAATGTGTTAGAAAAAGCCTTATCATGTGAAAATCATTATTTTGAGCTAAAAAAAAGGGCTGCTGACAAATATAGCGTTGTTTTGGGGGGGAGGGGCAGGCTGTCTTTGAGAGAACAATATCAACTATTCTTACTACAGACAGAATCGAGTGGTCATATTTAGTCTCTCTAGCAGTATCTATAATCAGAAGAATATCAGAATTACACAGAGTTGTCATAGACTCCACATAAAATTAATAATGAAACTGTTCATGTTGAAGTAATAAGAAAAACTATTTGGTTATAAACGATGCAATAAAAAAAATAATCGTGATTTTGAAATCGATGTTAAATTTATTATAACTCTTAAACGACAGAATAATCATTGTGACATGTGTAACTGTAATTGTGTGTGTGTGTGTGTGTGTGTGTGTGTGTGTGTGTGTGTGTGTGTGTGATTTAGATTTTAACGTAGCTTTAACAATTTTTAAGTTATATCGCTACGATGTCTGCAGTATGACAGTTTATTGTGATGTGTAGCACTGAGGCAGCATGCCGCTGACATGTAGCATGATGTCCCACTGTCACATTATCCTGACACCAGGTAGACCAGTCCTAACACTAACTTCTTAATGCTGAGCGCCCAGCAAGGCTGCTGTTAGTACCATTTTTGTAAGTCTTTGATATGACTCGGCTAGGCTTTGAACCCACGACCTCACCCATCTGAGGCGGACGCTCTAACCACTAGGCCACCGGAGAGATTTTGTAACTGTAATATGCAATGGAAATATTCGAGTAATAATCCAAGGCTGTTCACCGTGGATAGAATTAATAGTGGTCTCGGTCATACACGTGATAATGTGATGCTGACCCGTCTTAAATGCACTCGACGCAGGGGTGCTAGTTTACAAAAATGAACTTTGTTGGCAATTGTGTATCTTCTGGAATTACAATTGTTCACATACAGAACCACGCTGAGGAACAGTTGAATCCAATCTGTAGATTGCAAATCTACCCGTGGATCTACCCACGCTAGACATTTGGTGTGTAGTCACACTCCCGATAGGATCAGTTGATCTTTTTTACCACCTTCCAGTTTTACAGGTTCATATAAATACTTTACGGTAACATTACATAGTACTGATTGAAAGGAAGATTATCGGCTTGTCGGTATACATCTTTTGTGATCGCATTAGAGGGTTTCATAGAAGTTGCACAAGTAATTTCATTATTTAACTCAGTAACCTTGCAATGAAGAATACTGTTTAGTAATTTATTCCAAATTAGTATTTTATCTTAAATTAAGTAAAATATATTCTTCAAAATGATTGTTGCATTATTCATAAATATTTTATAATCTTTAATTTAGTCCAGATCTATTACTGTACTATATACGAAAAACTACAAATATATATAAAGTTAGTAAGCTTGAAAGGAAAAGTATTATATGCATTTTGAATATATTTCAACGTAAAGGCTTTTGTGTCCTTGGAATGTAATATTGTATATCTTTCTATGTCAATTATATAAATCAAAATCGCCGTTGCTTCAAGACTAGAAAAGAGTCCTACTTTGTTTTTACAGAAATCCCGTGTACCTTCGTATGCCAGAGCGTCCCCAAACGATGAAGCATTGACTACACCATTATGTTAAACTTCTCTCTCTCTCTCTCTCTCTCTCTCTCTCTCTCTCTCTCTCTCTCTCTCTCTCTCTCTCTCTCTCTCTCTCTCTCTCTCTCTCTCTCTCTCTCTCTCTCTCTCTCTCTCCATAAATATTTGTTTATCACTTCACGAGGTAATTGATACCTTCGAACTCAAGTTTATAAACCATGGCGTCAGAAGGCTAGAGTAAACGGACAGGTCTGGTTACGCTTGCTCATTATTATAATCATTATTACAATCTATTTTGCCCGAGATACACTGTCTGACTGATGTAATTATTTCGTATGTTTTCAAAACCTATCATTTACATGTTAGAAAATTGCAGTGTTCTCATACCACACTATTACACTTTTGTAAAATTGGATCTCCTTGACCTATTGCCTTGTTAACTTTGAATGGAATACTTCAACGTCCCACTGCCTGCATGATTTGATGTTCTGATCATGTGTAGTTTATGCTTTTTTGACTTCACATCAAGGTAATCTCTCTCTCTCTCTCTCTCTCTCTCTCTCTCTCTCTCTCTCTCTCTCTCTCTCTCTCTCTCTCTCTCTCTCTCTCTCTCTCTCTCTCTCTCTCTCTCTCTCTCTCTCTCTCTCTCTCTCTCTCTCTCTCTCTCTCTCTCTCTCTCTCTCTCTCTCTCTCTCTCTCTCTCTCTCTCTCTCTCTCTCTCTCTCTCTCTCTCTCTCTCTCTCTCTCTCTCTCTCTCTCTCTCTCTCTCTCTCTCTCTCTCTCTTACCATGGGCCGAGACAGTTCCTAAAGTTCCTAAGACCTGACTTATTCCTTCTCATAGCAAGGAATGAAAAAAAGATTATGATAAAATCATTATCATAATAATGCTATAAAGTACTTAAAGATTTTAATGGAAATGCAAAATTGTTAAATGAAGACAGTGACGTTATTAACTTTATCACTAATATTGATGAAGCGACATCTGTAGATGACCTGGATGGAAGTATGAATAATTTAGTAGTGTCCGATGATGTCATGCTGGACAAACAATCGAATCCAGCTAGGATATTTTCCAGAGGCAGACATAAAAATGCGAACGTGATTTATGTTATACAACGTTGTACACAAATACCTAAAGTAATCAGAGATAACTATAATATTTTAGTTGTTTTTAACGGAGTTGATAATCATACGCTACAAAATATTTATTATACATGGTGTTCCGGGGACATGGATATGATTAAATTCAACCCCTTTTTTTTCAAAAGCACAAGCTACTCCATTTGGTTTTATAGCAATCAATTAACATGGTCTGAGATCAAGATTTCGTAACGGACTTGATTTCTTGGATTTAGAAGAAGAAAAAAACACAGCAGCAAGCAGGGTGGGCTAACAAAACTCCACAATCACATAAACCATCATCACAAAATTTTATAAACAGCGAAGTAACGTCGCGAACCAACGCTACGGAGATAATCTCGACAACTTAGAGGTTTCAGTTTGACGTCATTGAGATATTTTAATTTTTTCATGTGGATCATTATTTTTCAGATACGTTTGCTCAAATCCATTTTGTACTGTTCGCCCTTCCTGCTGTTGGTATTGTTGTTTTAGGTTTTACGCCATTTTCATCACATGAGAGGATGTACGTGGCGGCTAGTTTAACTGGTAGAGGATGAACCAGGGAAAACCCCAGAGAGAACCACCGACACGGGAAGTTACTGGCAAGCTTCTCAGATATCAACATAGGATGAGTATGACAAGTAACCCATGCCGGCAGATTGGAAATGGGAGACTAACCCTGCGGCCTTCATCCATGTAAAATGGAAGTTTTTTTCCATAGCGTGGGCTATATTGATTTATGCGATAAATATGAAACATATATTTGGACTTTTTAAGCTTGGCTAGGTAAAAATTGACTTCCCTACTTTCTTTAATTGTATTGTTCTAACGTTTGCATATCACGAGAATCAGAAATAGAAAACAATGGTTTTCGAACTTGACTGGTACTTTAAACGATGGTTATCGAACTTGACTGATACTTAGCAGATATTGCTTTAGATAAGATAAGAGCTCGATGCTCTCACAATTAGCCTAATACGTGATGTGAGAATGTGTACCAACAGATACTAACCTGTAATATTCAGTTTCAATAAAGCCTGCACCAAGGCTCCAGTCACAATCCTGTTCAGTCAGTCAGTTATATGGTCGAAAGGTATTTTATCATTTTGCTACTTAAAATCCCTGAGGAACGATGTAAAATGATATATTCTATCATAATTTTTCTAACTTACCGTTTTTATTTTGCTTTATTGTGAAAAGAATAATAATTGCAAATAGCATTAACGACCGATAAGCCCTTTTACTTGTCTTCCTAATTCTTTTTTGTGTACAGTTTGTGTAATAACGATAGCCTTTGTCTAGTTTCATGGATACTTATTTTACTTCAAATGTCTGACAAACCCAAACAATTTATTTCCATTACTCTCAGTGCTTCGGATGTTATCTTGCTTTGGATGTCCTTAAGGTAGAGGGAATCTGGAAATCTTCGTCTTTCCCTGGTTACGCATTTACCCATCCAATACAACAACAACAACAACAACAACAACAACAAGGACAACAACTACTACTAACAACAATAATAATAATAATAATAATAATAATAATAATAATAATAATAATAATAATAATAATAATAATAATAATGTTGTTAATGTTGCTTTTAAAAAATATATGGTTTTTTTTCTAATTTAAAATAAAAACACTTCCGTATAAACTGTTGGCATACGCTCTACTATCATTCCATATTCTTCTATCATCAAAACTAAATACATAAACATCCCTGACAACTTTATTTTTGTTCGTCATTATGTAAATTTTATTATTTTTGGTAACAAACCTCGAGCTGGTCCCAGTAAACTAGGTTTCGCATCTTTTACGTCTTTCTGTTTTAGTTTCGATATCTTGAAACGACCTTGACATTAGCTGTGACTGAAATGGAGTGCGAAAGTAGATTTTGGGTTGCTGTAGAATCAATATCAGTTACAACTCCAAACTGCTTTATGGCACATATTTTGAGGCACCGTCATGACAACCATTTCCATGAGACAATGTAGTCTTTTTTACAAATTATTTTCTTTATTTTTAACTCTAGTTTGACACACCACACAAAGAGATGTAAGGAAATGTTATCACATGAGAGAGAGAGAGAGAGAGAGAGAGAGAGAGAGAGAGAGAGAGAGAGAGAGAGAGAGAGAGAGAGAGAGAGAGAGAGAGAGAGAGAGATTAAAATAAATAATTTTACATATTTTTGATCCTCTATAGATTTCTGAAAAAGAATTGGAGTCTGTCTTCTACTGATGTTATTCAAAGAATAGTATTTATATCAAACCACTGTAATCTAACTTCTCAGAAATATTTCCAAAATGTCTCCAAGAAGGTCGTCCTTTTTCGATAATTTGAAACGAACGTTGGCTCCATATCGCTGTCTGCTCATTGCATTGATTCGGCATCAATTGGAAGTAATATTATTATATCTGAATCTTACGTTACTTCCCCCAACCCCCAGTCTTCACTGTTTTCTATCCTTTATTTTTTATTTTTTATTTTGGCTCTGTCGTTATTTTGGCTCGTCTGACCTTCCTTTCTAAAATTATTTGGTATTTCGTCCTGCAGTCACAATAAATTGAGTGTTTCTTTTTTTTCGTACCAGATCTTTAAAATAAATACCGTCAGTTCAACAATAGTAGATTCGAATGAGTTTATGGTTTTGAATTATTTAAAGAGAAACCCTTAAATATGGTCTTTGTTATTATATATATATATATATATATATATATATATATATATATATATATATATATATATATATATATATATATATATATATATATTCTTTTTTTAAATATTCTCTTTGGTATCGTATTACCTCTTGGCTGTGTTTGATTTACATTAAATGAAAGGTCTGATGACATGGAATTTGAGTGAAACTCGTGCATACACCATGCACACTGAGTTAGAGTAATTAACTTTTAATTCACCTTTGCATACACTAGGCATACTGAGCTGAAGTAATTCACTTTTGCATACTATTTGCACATTAAGTTGGAATGATTAACTTCTGGATACAGGAGGCAAAATGTGTTGCAGTA